GAGGGCCTCAACTTGTTGTGAAGTGCGCACTATGCTAAAGCAGGTTGTATGTTGTTCCTGATATATTTATTTTCGTGTATTTTTTTTCCTACACGAGGATAAATTTATTGTTGTCTTAAATTTAGTTGTTTTTTGTTAAATGCACTAAATTAAAGTTGTGCCTGGATTGCTGATAGCTTACTGTGCAAGAGGAGCAGGATTAAAAATGAAGAATATGCTAAAAATGTATTTTAACTGTAATTTTATTGTTAAGTTTTTTGTTTCAATTTTTTATTTGTTATTTTTTTATTTTTAAGCTCCTGTTTTATAGAAATTAAAATTCAGATTTTAATCGAAGTCAATGGCTTATTCTTGACCCTACATGAATGCATTTTCTCAAATAAAGTAATGTGCACATGAATATGCTAAAACATCACAATAATAAGAGTTTCATACAAAATTGTACATACCATTACATAGTGGAACTAAGTTCCATATTCTCTACATGATCCTTGAATTTCGTGGCATGCATTTAATCAAATAATCAACGATCATCAATTTAGTACTTATGTGCTCAATGACACTTTTTTCCTTTAACATGTTCCTTTATGGTTAATTACTTAATGTCAATGTATTTACTTCTTAGCCATAAAGATAGCCCGTATTTTAAAAAATGTAAAGCGTAGCGAAGCGTGGAGGTCAGATTCGACCTAGGCGAAGCCTAGGCATTAAAAAGAGTAAAAAAGAATTTTTTAATATTATTTTAAAATTTTGAATCAATATAAAAATTATTTAATAATTAAAGGAAAACATTGAAATGCGTAAAAAGAGTAAAAAAATCGTGTGCTAAGCAAGCCTAGACGTGAAAAATAAATAAATAAATAAAATAAATGAAAAAGTGCAAAAAAGCAGGAAGTGAGGCGTTTTGCTCCCGCTTCACGCCTAGGGCATAGGCAGCTCCTAGGCACGCCTATGTGCTGCTTTTTAGAACACTGAAGATAGCAGTTGAATTGTCGCAGTAACTTCTCAATAGCTTAGAAATGGAATCCAAAGCTCTAAGCCCAAATATGAAACTCTTGATCCATACATCATCTGAAGTAGTCTCAAAATAGGAGAAGAACTCGACTACGGGTGAATGCAGTTCGGTTTGGATGGTTTGTGCTATATTTTAACTCAAATCATTTCAAGCGACTTGGAATCTTTTTCAAATCAAACCAAACCATTTTATTTTTCAAACCAAACCAAACCATTATTTGCATTTTGGTTCGATTTAATTTGTGGTTTACCTATTAATATTATAGTAATATATTTAAAACAAATAAACATATAAGTTTAAACGAGAACTAATGATTTTAAATGTTAAATTACATTCAAATTTGTCCGAAATTTGAAATACTGACAAAAAGGCAAAAAAAAGTATTAGAGTGTGTTTGGTATGGATTTTTTGGGGAATAATTGATTTTTGAATAGTGATATGATGAGAAATGTGTTGTTGAAAAAGAAGAAAAAAGTATTGATGTGATGGAAAATATTATTTTATTGAAGAATGTGTAGTTGAAAATGAGTAGAAG